TGTAAAGATTATGGACTAGGAAATCTATTCTAATACAATACTACTTATAGATGCCCCTATGGAAACTATTGCCCTGTAGCTACATGGAGACCTTATCCATGTAAAGCCGGTACTTATTCTGATGATACTCTTAGACTCCCACCAGCAACTCTAACAGATTGTCTTGAATGCCCTCAGCATTATTATTGCCCAACTGGAACAGGATTTAGATATAAACATCCATGCCCCGGAGGAAGTTATTGCCCAGCTGGTTCGTCGTACCCAATTTTATGCCCAGCTGGTTACTATTGTACTGCCAGTTTATCCAAGAATATGACTGTGATTACAATTAAGATCTGCCCGAAGAACAGTTATTGCCCATTAGGTTCATAAGCACCAATTCCTTGTAATCTTGCGAAAGGAGAAATTTGCCCAGCAGGGGCCAGTTTCCCTTCAATTTCAAAAACAACTTCTACCATATGCAGTCCAGGATCCTACTTTGGCTATGGATAATGTAATCTTTGTGAGCCAGGTTATTTATGCGTCAATAATACAAACACAAAGTACCCACTTTATTTAACAACAGAAGGAGGATAAGAGTGTCCAGCTGGTAATTACTGTCCAAGAGGCTCATCAAAGCCAACCTAATGCCCTAAGGGTACTTATAGGCCAATTACTAGAGGTAAATCTGTTGAGGATTGCTTCGATTGCACTGAAGGATCTTACAACGTCTAAACAGGTTAAGTAGCATGTGTTAAGTGCGGTAGAGGCTCAACAAATACAACTGATTTCTAAGCTTGCCAATGTCTTGGTAACTTCAGATTGTGGAGAGCTTCGGACAATTAATGCGTTTGCAAAAGCCCTTATTTGGAACCAGTTGTTAAGAATGATGACTCTCAAACTTCAACTGATACTCAAGATTGTGTACCTCCAGTTGAACAAGATTGCACAGCAGGCAGTCACTTTGATTCCTCCACTTCAACTTGTGTATCTGACGAAATTTGCAAGCAAGCTTCATTATGTAATGGTAATGGAGTTCTATAAGGATACTACTCTGCGACTCAACAAATATGTCTTTGCAGTCAAGTTTCCGTTACAAGCAGACTTTTGCAATCCCTAACAAATGACTCATCGATTAATACTTAGGATTCTTAGATTATCTGTGCTAGATAAGGCAGCTAATTAAAGTTCCAAGTTTCAAAGCAGCACTTCCCAGTATTCATTATAAACTCAGTCTACAATACAAATCCTACATTTGATTCTGGACTCTTTGATAACTTGAGGACAAGAATATTAAATGCTGGTATGTTAATCAGCAACTTCTACTTCTCCTTCATTGACTAAGGTACCTATATGTTTGGTGATTACTCAGACCAGAAGAATACCTTGATATTCATTAAAATTAGCTCTGAGTGTCCAGCTTAGTACAGTATCTCTCCATTGACTCTTTAAAACTTAGAGAGATACTCAATTACGCCGCAAGAAGTGAGTATGAAGAAAATGAGTGACAGTCTCATCGTTATCCCTATAGTCTTCATTCTATTTACTGTTGTGTCGACAGGTGTGCAGAAGGTAATTGAGGCTAGAATTGAAAGAATGGAGCTTGAAAGAAGACTTAGAAGGGCTGGCAGAAGAAGAAATTTCTAGAATGAGGATGGAAAGCTTGACAAGAAGCAGTATCTCTCAGATCTATACAAACTGATTAAGGATAATCTAGATGAGGTGAAGAAACTTATTGACTCTCATGATTCAAGAGACAGCCTTTACAAGCTTTTAAGAGATAAGACTAGTCTTGCCAAGGAACTAGGCGACAATGGCAAGTCTGTCATGGATGAGCTCAAGAACTAACTTAGCAGACTTCTTGGTGAGTTAAGATTCCCAGACGGCAGGACATTAAGAGAGGTTTTAAGTGAAAGACTACTTCAAAGAAGATTATAAGAAGTTGAGATTGATGAGGATCATGAAGAAGAGCATGACGATTTAATGGATGACTCAGCATACAATCGAACAGACTCAGGCTATGGAGACGAAGAAGATGAAGATGAAAATGATGAGTTGATTGATGCTGCTGGGTAGAATTTCCATGACTCAGATGACGAGAATCTTGATAAAATCAAGAAAATGAACAAGAACCAGAACTTAGAAGATCTAGATAGAAAGATTAACCTTAAACAAGAACAGGAAAAGAGAAAGCTTTAGTTCCAGGATAGAATTGGTGACTTAGTAGGTGATGATGACAAATAAAAACTACTTGAGGGTTATGACAGCAAGATGAGATAACTAGATAACTTGTTGAATAATGAATCTAAGAAGCAAGATGATATATTAGCAGCCAGACTAGCAGCAAGAAAGCAAAAGAAGAAGCAACTAACACAGCAATTAGATGAAAGAGTTAAAGAAAAAGAGCAGAAGCTTGAAGATCTTAAAGAGGAGTAGGCACAGATGTTTGAGGATTTCGATGATATCGTTGAGCATGGCATGAAAGACTAGAAACTTAAAGATATTCAAGAAAAGGAAAAGCAAGAAGCGCTTGACAAACTTGATAAGCAGAAGGATTAGCAACTTTAAGCAGTGAGAGATGAGTATTTGATTAGAATCAAGAATGCAAGAAATCCACAAGAGAAGGAGATGATTCTTGATGAGATGCAGAGGAGACTTTCAAGCATTGAAGATCAGCTAAATAAGGAGAAAACTGAGCAAGAGAGGAACTTAGAAAAAATATTAAAAGAAAGACAATCAAGAAGAGTCAAGAAAATGGCAAAGGAGTAGGACAAGAGAATCGAAGAAAAGGGTAAAGAGATTTTAACTTTGCAAAGAGATATCGAAAAGGAGAAGGCTCAGATCTATGTTGAAATGGGAGGCAAAGATGTTTCAGAACTTATAGATGACTCCTTAAAATCTAAGATCTAAGATATCATTAAGAAAGTCGACAAGAAATAACTTACTCTTGAACTGGATTAGATTGATAAAGATCAGCTTGAAATCTTGAAGGTCCAATAGAACCTTGAGAAAGACAAGGCACTTAAGAATATTGAGAGGGAGATTGAGGAACAGTCGGAAGATGATAAGTCCAAGTTAGAGGATCAGCTGAAGTAGAAACTCTAAAAGGAGAGAGATGAATACAACTAGAAGATAGCTAAGGCTAAGAACGAGAACGATAGAAAGAAGTTAATCAAAGAAAGCAAGAAGAGGGAGAAGAAGATTCAAGATGAGATTCAGAATGAGAAGCTTAGACAAGAAAGAATGCTTGATGAAAAGAAGATGAACAGACAGAATAGAAGAAAGATCAAGGAGCTTGAGATAGAATCAAAGCAGATGGAGGACTATACCAAGAAAGAGGTTGAACTCCTTAATAAGAAATTTTAGTAGCAAGATCAAGCATCTGTGGAAGTGTTTGAGAAAGAAATTAATTAAGCAATAGCTAAGATTGAGTAAAGAAAAGATGCTGGAAAAGAATAGGCTTTGATATTAGCGAATGAGAGTACTGATGAAATGATAAGAAAGAGACTCAAACTGTTGATTCATAAGCAGTTCCACGAACTAGAGAAATATCTTGGTACAATGTATACTTAGACAGCAATGAGTAAATTAATCGCTAAAGAGAAAATAAAGGATAAATATAATAATCTTGAGGAAGAAGCATATAAGAATCTTCACGGAGACTAGTTAGTGCAAAGACTCAATGCTTTGAAGGAAGAAGAGCAACTTGAAATCAGCATGATTGATGATAAGATAGCTGAGGAGGAAAGAGAAAGGGAGGCTGAGATTAGAGAAAAGCTGGAAGAGCAGTTCAGCAAGGAGAAGACAGATCTTATCTCGCAAGATAGTAACAAAAAGAAAGAGCTAATTGAGAACATCATGAAGAGAAACAAAGATGATGAGATGATTAAGATATTAGCACCAGCTATGATTTAAAACACTGCCAGACAGACACAGGAGGATCTAGAAAAGCTTGAGAGGGAGCGACAGGACAATCTTGACAAGATCAAGCTATAGATTGTTGCTGAGAACGAGGCAGAGGTGCAGGACATGCAGAGAAAGATTGAGGAGTAGATGAACAAGGAAAAAGAGGCAGTCGAGCAAAGAATGAAGCACAAGAGAGACGAAATCATCGGGGATAAAAAGAAACGACTAGAGGAGAAAATCAATGAGATGAAGGGAACTCTCAGCGAATATCAAAGAGAAATGATTATGAAGCAGTATCAAACTGAACTTGATGCTTTGGAAAAAGCCATAGCCGACGAGAGAGATGCTTAGTTGACTAAGATGAGGCAAAAGCTAATCAAGAGAAAGATAGAAAGAGAGAGGCTTAGGAAGGAAGAAGAGCAAAAGAAGAAAATGGAGGAGGTTAAAATCAACATGATAGGTTTCCTCAAGAATAAGATCAAGGAGAATAGAGAGCATGAAAAGGCTAGAATCCTGCATGGTGGCTCTGAATCTGAGTCAGTTGATTTCAAGGATAAACTAAAAATGATGCTTTCTAAGTGGAGTGACGATGTTGACAAAGCTAAATAAGATATTGAAGATCCCACTAACATTTGGGAAAAGACTTCTCAAGATTCTTTGAGATCTTCAGCCAGTAAGATGTCAAAGATGTCAAAGATGTCTAAATTGTCCAAAGTTACCAAAGGAACTACGACCAGCAAGTTCGCTAATAATCTTTAAGGTATAGGCAGCAACGCCCCTCAATAAAACTACACCATGGAAGAATTAGTCAAGAGAATCAGAAGAATTGAGAAGTTGACTGATAAAATGAGTAATGGAAAAGTTAGACCATCCTTAATCAATGAGGCTAAGAATGCTATCTCTCATATCTTGTCAGGATCTCCATCTCAAGACTTGATTAATTGAGATGATCAGCGATTATTCTTGACCCTGAATTAAAGAAGTCAAGGAAACTATTAATAATTATGATTACAATCTATGATTTACAACACATTAAAACTTAACCTTAATTTCATCACTCTCTTTCAAAGAATTTAATTGTTGTTCGAAATTAAGAGATAATGATTAATTATTCATCATTGCTAGGGCTGCTACTACTGGGGATTATACTTCTTTCTCCAGAATCCAAGTTATTCATATCTTTTGATGTAGGTTCGTTCTGATCCAGTCAAATCTGGGACATTGAACTGCTTAAATAGATCAGCGAACTCATCTTCTTGTTCCTCTTCTTGTTTCTCTCCCTCTTCACCAGCATTCTCGTTCAGGAATACAAATCTAGGTGCATTTGTATACTTGATCGGCAGACCTTTGATTTCGCTATAGGCTTCAGTGAGTCTGGGAGAATCTTTGTTATTATAGATCTGAGTGATCTGCTCCTAAAAGTCCAAGATAAAAGTAGTGGTATCCTGGGGGCTTAAATATGCATCATAAAGGCAGAACTTGTTAGACTCATTGATTGTTCTTACAAACTTAGACTGATCAGTGAAGAGCATAATGATCTTGATGAATCTCTTGCCATCATGTGCTTGCAATTGATATGTAGCATCTCTAGCCTTGCTTGCTTTCTTTTCCTCATCCCCTAGATCCACTGCTCTTTAGAATGGCTGTGATACATTTCTGAATTCCTTTATTTCTATCAATAAAGGCTTCTTGAGCACATCATGGATGATATGATTATCAAGAGCAGTCTTGTCAATTCCAAGCTATAATTTTGTTAATGCCAGATATTTTCTGGTTATATATTACATCTTCTATTGGAGTCTGCAGAATATACTTCTTGAGAGATGCTTCGTCAATCTCTTCTTTAGCTCCACTCTTTCTAATGAAATTTTTCAGATTTATCTTGTCAAATTTCTCAACTTAGATTTGATACAAATCATTGAGTAGCTTTGTTGCTTTTTGCTCCATATTGATTTAATCTTAAATACTTATAATAACAAAATTACATTGCATTCACTACATCCATTTATCATAGACGGGGTTTTGGGGTTTTGGGGTTTTGGGG